CTAGGGGCACTCACCTGCCACAGTGCACAGGATGCAGCTCGGGATGCCTCCATCCTTCCTGGAGTTCTTGGGTTTGAGTCCCAGTTCCTCTCCTGATTCCACATCCAGGAAGACAGCAGGTAATGGTCCAACTGGTTAGATTCCTGCCACTCCTGTGGGAGGCCTGGACTCCATTGCCTTTGGGGAGTGAACCACCGTATGGGAGGTCTCTGTGTGTTACCTGTCTCACTCAGTGTCTTAAAAAAGAACATACCTGAATTTTTGTTTTCAGAGAAGCTAAGCAATACTAATCGTGGTGGCATGTGTGTTAACCAATTAATCCTTGTGAGAATCTGTATTTCTGTTACAATTTCCATTTTCACTTGGCAAAGGGGCCCAGGACTGGGAGGTGACAGCTTGAATTTGAAAGGGTAGTGGGATTTGAAAGGCTAGCGCTCTCAAAATTATGCTCAGTTCCTTCTCGTCTGCCAGATTTTCCATGAATTTCCTGTTGAGAAAGAATTGCTAATGAAATGAAATTTGGCCTCCTGAGCATGCTTCCTAAACCCGTGATTTTCTTTCGCTGTGTTTTGAGGGTAGGAGAGGAAACGTATGTTTTTCATAATAGGAGAGACTGTGTCAAACTTGGTGCTTGCTAAAAACTGCTCAGTGTTACTATTAATGTGAAAGTGGTGCCAGTGGTGCGTAAGCCATTTCCTGGGTAAGACGACTTTAAGGAGTGAATGCGTTGTAAGGAGAAAAGTATCTCTGTGAATTGCCTTGTGTGAGCGCCCGCTCTCTTGACACTCAGAAATGTCCTGTAGGGCATTGACTCCTTTTATCCCTAAATTGTATGAAATATACCTTTCTCTAATATAAAAAAGTAGAATTTGGGTTCTGGCATCCAGATATATTTCTTTATCATTTGACTGCTTATTGGTTAGATGTGCTCACTTGTTTTCGGCAGCGTTTCTTTGTTTTTAACTTTGTGATGGAAATGAAGTTTCAACTTAAATTTTATAAAGTTGGGGCAGACATTCGCCTGGACAGGCGAATTGTCAGGACATCCCTGTCCCAGGTCACGCTTCATGAGAGCTGTAGCACCTGACTTGAGCTTCTTGCGAATGAACACTGGGAGGCAGCAGTTTTGGCTCAAGCATCCCAGGCCCTGTTTCCACCTGGGAGGCTTTGAAGTCTCTTGGCTTGAGCCCATTTGAAGCACAAGCTCTTTCAGGCATTTGGGGAATGAACCAGCGGATAGGAGCCATCTCTCTCTCTTTCACAAATCTCTCTGTGTCTCAAATAATATTCTTTCATTTTATACTATTTTTCAAATAATCAAATGGTCTGTTTTTTTTGTATCCACTTTTGAGTTTGAATTCAGGGATAACTTCATGTAGCTACCTGCACAGTCAGGGCACAGACTAGTTCTACGGTCCCCAAACATTCCCTCATGCTCTCCCGTATGCAACTCGATCCTTAGCAACCATGGATATGTTCTCTGTTCCTATCATCCTGTCTTTTCCAGAATTCCAAATAAATGAAATTGTAGCCTACTTACCCAGCTTGGTGCTACTTTTCCCCCTCAGCATGATGCCTTCAAAACTGATCCAAGTGGTTGCATGTGTCAGTTGCCATTTCCTCTTTTACTGCTGAGTACTATCCTGTTGCATTGCATATACCACAGTGTATTTATTCATTTACCTTTTGGAGAATGTTAAGGTTATCTCCTCTATTTTTGTTATTATGAATAAAGCAACTATAAACATTTGTGTGCATGTGTTTGTATGAGCATGTTTTATTTCTTTAGATAAATCCCTACAAGCAGGTAGCAGGAGCATATGTTTACAATTTATGTTTACGTTCACAAGAAGCTATCAAAGTGATTATTAGAACGCCAAGTGTCTTGTATTCCTACCTGCAACTTACAAACGGGTGGAGCTGTTGAATGCTGTTTCATATGCTCTTGGATTCGGTTGGCAAACTGTGTGTCATGATGTGTTGGGGTGCTGAAAGTTAGTCCACAGCAGTGAGAGGACCCCTGGGTCTTCCATGTGAGTTTCAGAAAAGACCACTGCAGACTTATTGAATAAAAATACTAGAGTTCCATGGAAGAACACAGTTGGAGGGAATAGGCCTATCTACAAAGTGTTTTAAAAATATTGCACTCCAGGGCATTGATCGCAGACGGTGTGGTGTGAACCATGGATGTCATTCACAGCTATGCTAGGTTGGTAGTGGTGACAGAGAGAGACCCAGCAATCTTCTATCAGTTGCCTCACTTTGCAGATGACAATAACTGGAACTCGACCAGGAACTCAATCTAAATCCCATCTGTGTGACAGGGGCCAGAGTACCAGGGTCATCATCTGCTGCCCACTTGGTGAGCTTTAGCAGGAAACTGGATGGGAAGCCAGTGTAGAATTTTATCCAGCCACAGTAGGGTGCAGGCATCCAAAGTGGCTACTTAACCCATTGTGCCATACAACATTAGAGTTATAGGGACAGAAAGAGAGAGAGAGAGAGAGATCTTCCATCCTCTGGTCCTTTTCCCAATTGATCTCAGTGGCCAGCAGCCAAGAGCCAGGAACTTAATGTAGGTCTCTCACATGGCTAGACCGGGCCCAAAACACTTAGGCCTTCTACATCCTCTTTCCTGCCATCAACAGGGAACTGGATAGAAAGTGGAAGAGCTACAACACAAACCATAACCCATATAAGATGCTAGCATTGCAAGTAGCAGCTTTACTTGCTACACCACACGATGCTACCACTCCCCTGACTGTTTACGCTTGATCTGAGCCAAAAGGCTGAGAAGTGATTCTCCTATAACTTTTTAAGCAATAAATATTGTGATAGTTTCAAAGGAAAAATATTTTTATTTGCATTATATTTCTGAGCCAACTAGGTGTGTGCTTTCTTTTATTTCAAAAGTTTTCACATTTTTATTGAATCATATGCACTCCAGATACAGTGTTAAACCACATGACTTTTTGAACCTTCTTCCAACTTTAAGTCCATGAAGGATGGTATCACAGGATTAGAACACCTACTGATGCCCAGCCATCTTTGAAATGAAGCATTTTTTTAGATCTGAAGGAATTAAATGGGCAACTACCTGATTTCTGTTCCTTGTTGCCCACTTACTATTTTAGCACTTGTTTTGAGTAAGTTTTCAACACTTAGAAAATGATGGGTTTTCATATTTTCATGAAACAAAACAACTTTCTTGTTGATTTTGAAAACCCAACCACCAGGACACCTAGACAGCCTTTCTAAGCAGCAGATTCGGCTGGAGCTGACTAGTGGTCTGCCCTAGTGGTCTCCCTTTGTAGACCAAATACCAGCTTGCCCAGAGGACTGTCTCCTCAACTCACAGCTGTCATCTCTCTGGCCCGAGTCGGTGTTGGAATTCCCTCCTGATTTCCATGGGCTGGAATGGTTCAGGGCATGCCCCCTGTGCTCGGGGGAGGGTGACCTATAAATGTTGTTGCCATGAAAGAAGTCAACTGAGTTCTAACTGGGCCTGTGTCCCAGGATGGCGCATCTAATCCTGAACCCAAAAGGCACCCCTCAGGTTCCTGTACCTGACTGGTGTGAGTCAAGTTACCTAGGAACCCTTCACACAGTAGATTCTATCTCCTGCCTTATCTGTTTATATCAGATAGAGTTGTTTATTATTATTGTTAGCAATGAAAACAGATTCAGGTGAATTTACTTAAAATGGAATGATACTAAAAAGGTAAGTGGGTATCTCAGAGTATCAAAGGAAGAGAGAATCTTTGAAATGCAGAAATCTCAGGAAAATCAAGGATATATTGAGGAAAGGTAGGAACTAAGGAAATCCCATCCATCCTCCCCACACTCCACCCTCCCGCAACACCCCATCATTCCTCTCAAGAGTTTTGAACTGTGCAGGAGGAGGATAAGATGGCCAGGCTCGCATCCTTCATGGGGGCAGGACACTGCCCTTAAGCGGTCCTGCATAACTCCAGACAGTGCAGGTCTCCCCCTGGAGGAGATGTGGATATTGTTGCCAGACAAAGGGTTGCTGCGTATGGATACCTGCAACAGCAACAACAGGTGTTCACTGTAACTTGCTCTCCAGGCTGTCTTGGAGTTACTGAATATGCACTCTAAAAAGGGCTGCAATGGAGTGAGGAGGTAGCATTGCAGGATACAGCAGAGCCAATTTATGAGTGTCCTCTTTTTAAGTTAACAGATATATTGGCATCCCTTATCTCAAGGATGTAGGAAGTGCCGTGAGCGCAGAATGTGACAGTTTCATTCCCTTTCACATTGCCTTGGCTATGAAATTTCTAAAGAGACCAAGCTAACTTCAAATTAAAAGCATCTATAACATCTAAGCATGTTCCTTGAGATACACTCTGCTAAGTTTTGTGCTTTTGTTTCTTTGCAAGTTCTTGCTTTGCAACATTCAAGGAAAATTGGTGATTCCAGCCACTGTTAACCACCTCTCCTCTCCTTTTTATCCACCTCCACTTCCTCTTTTCCCCTCCACCCCCAAAAAACACACTGGCATGTGTTGAAATTGAAAGTAATGATTCAAACAAGAGAGGCAATGCAGAAACCCTCAGCTGGATGGCAAGGAGCAGAGCAAATTCAAAGACTGCTCTTTTTTTTTTTTTCAAAAGGCAAAACAAACAACTCACGGTGAAATGTACGTGAAAATCATTTCTAATAATAGCTCATGGTAGGCAGTTCCCAAGGGGGGAGGGGGAATCGTTGGTGTGCTGAGAAAATTAGAGTGAAAATGCACAGCATCTTGATGTGTTACTTAAGGCAATGGAGCTTTAGACTTTACCTTATGTGCCATGTACATTGATTAAATACAAAATATATGCCGGCCATTTTTGTCCATCATTTACTGTATTGATTTGTTAGCAGGGGAACTGTAATAAAAAAGCCATTGATTTACTGTCCTTATTTGCTTATGGGCTTTTTTTATTATTAATTTTTCACTTTTTCTTTCCCTTTTTGGGGGGAATCATTTCTTTTAGACAAATGCCGTGCTGCGTGAGGTTAAAAGAGAGGGGCTCCCCGTGGAACAAAGGAATGCGATGCTGACTGCCATCCTGGCCTCACTCACCACCCGCCAGAACCTGCGGAGGGAATGGCACGCCAGGTCAGTCCTACTAGATGGGGATTTGTTGTCCCTGACACACAGGAGCTATAGGTGCCTGAACCCTTGCTTTAGGTTGGTGTCGTCACTCTCATTTTGAGGAACCATGAAAAATAAGCCCGGTTAAAACAACTTCAGCTCGTTAGCTCTCCTGTCCTTGGTGGCTATGTAATTTGTAATGATCCGTGACGTTGTCTGGATGCGTATAGGATATATCTCTGGGTATAGCATTTAGTATCCACATTTGTATCTTGAGCATCATGAGACGCAGGGAGTTTTGTGTTTTGTTTTGTTTTGTTTTGTTTTGTTTTGTTTTTTTAACCAGTCCACCCCAACTCTAGCTATTTAGGCAAGCTAAATGTCTGGGAAATCCTCCTAGTGCCCCTTTGTCTCTAGGTGCAGAGTGCGTTCCTTCGACGTGGTCTGTTTATCAACCCCAATTTTGGAATTGGTCAAGTAGAAGTTTCTTATGCTTCAACCCCCTTCCCTTCACCCAGAGTGTTCCCTGGTTAAAGCAGCTGCTGGCATAAAGCTGCTCTAGATCGCTGCCAATATCCCCCAGGCCTGGGGAGGATGGAGCTAGTCCTCCAGAACCCCAAGGTTAGCCTGGAGCTCTGCACGTTGTAAAAGCTGTTGTATTTTCCTCTGTCCCTGTCCTAGAGGGAGAGGAAGCAGAGACACTGAGCTGGGTTTTGTCTCACATTCCTTTCTGATGCTCAGAAACTCATTCTCTGTTCCTGGGAGTCAACAAGATGTATTAATGACCGTGATGTCCCTCACCTGACTTCATGCACCCGATTTTACACCAACTGATGACTTTACTGACGCGAATTGTCATCAGAATAGATTTTTTAGAACAAGGCTAAAGAGAAGCATTTTCTGGAACGGTACTATGAACTATTAATTCTGAAGCCTGCTTTTCCAACTGTGTGTATTATCTGTAAATTCAGACTTGCATTTAAGCCACAATGTGAAAATTCCCAGCAATTCCACTCACCCCTCTCTGTTGCCGGTGGCAGGGATACGTGAATTTCAGTTACAAAACTGGCTAACTGATTTTTAATTGAATTTTTAGTAATTGTTGTGTTACGATTTAATTATTCATGTTCATTGCAGCATACATGCTTTATTAAATAATGGCGTGCCAGTGTGAAGACTCCTAAGGTGCTTCTCTTCCATTTGACATTTCCCATCTTCTCTGTGGCTATTCTTGCTAAACAGAAAAATGAGGACAATATAATCCCCGCCATCATCAGTCTCCCAACTCTTTTCCTTCCAAAGACAGCACAGGAGAGGGAGGGAACAGGGGAGGGAGAGAGAAGGCACACAGATGTTGAGAAAGGATAGTCTTGTTGAGCATATTTCGTTTGTTAGCAACAATTTGCTAATACACCAAATTGTAAGACAGCAGGGCCAGGACGTCCTGCTTACACGGAGTCTGGTTTCCGCATTTCTGGCCTTTACTGCTAACAGCTTAATCAGGAGCTGGAGCCAGCGTTGAAGTTGATGTAGTCTAGCATCTGAAACAAAACTTCTTCAGTCCTTTGTGGTAGGGATGGTGGAGAGAAAGAGCTTAGCAGCTGACACTACACAGACCGCCTCAAAACTAAACACCTGAAAGAAAATCACCAGAGGGCAGTGTCCTGAGAGCTCCCGAGGAAAAGGGTCCTCAGAGTATTAAATGACCCTAATCCTCGCCCCAGCCTTGCCTGCCCCCTCCGAGGTTTCCCATCACAGGCTCATCCAGACGCTCGGGATCAACAGACGGTTACCATACACCTTTCCCTCATCAAAGCGGCCTCGTGCAGCCGTCTGGAATGGACGCATGGCCTCGAGTAGCCATCAGGCGGGTGGTGGTGAAAGTTAGAAACCATCCGCAGCAGCCCTTCCTGGGCTGCCCGAGCTTTGGAGATCGGCCCATCATGCGCTCTGGAATTATGCAAAGAAAAATATACTTTGACAGAAAATAATTAGCACTCGCCAAAGGCCAGGCAGTACGTTGCAGTATTTGACTTTCATCAAAGCTATCAGGGGATCGGTTAGATTAGATAATAGAAAAAAATTTTTTTTCTCCTCTGCAAGTTAAATACACATGACTGTAATTACCTTACATTGCACGTTAGCGAATGCACTGGGAATGGCACAACTTCAAGAAATTTAGGTCAACTAAGATTGCACAGCTGGCAGTAACTTCAGTGTAAGTCTACTGTAATGCGCTCCCTCATGAGCAGGTTCGTTTGTGATCATGTGATCAAGGAGACTGTTTCCAGTGAAACTTGTAACTCAGTTATAAAATATCTGTGTGTCTCTCAAGCCAGCCAGGAGCTGAGCCGTTGATTGAGCCTCAACTGAGGTCTCTCAAACTGAAAGCATGTGTTCCCTGTAATCTAGCTTTTGGAGAAAAGTGTCAATTCTGCATGACTCAGGGTAACCGAGTTTGTCACAGTGTCACACACCCCTGCGATTCCGTAGGCACATCTGAGTGCTGTGGGTTTCCTTCGCCAAGCTCAGTAATCCCATAAACAACCCTCTCCAAATAGGCTTATTAGGGCTGTCTGTTCACTTCCCCGGAGCTGAATGATCCAAAGTACATCAGGAGAAGCTTTGTGAATGCAGGGTAAGTGTTAACAGAAGTGGTACAGAATTTCTGAAGATTCGGCTTTGTTTATACAGTCCACTCGGCCTGATGGACAGCTTGTTACAGCTTAGAAAGAACCGGGCAAGCCCTCTCATCTGACCCCTTCTTGACCTCCACAGCTCAAAGGTCAGTCTGCAGCTAATAAACTCGGAGGTTCTTAAGGGTCTACTGTAGGGAGAGGCAGAAAAAGAGCAGCTGCGGGGATGGGGTATCCCAGGAAAGGCTGCTTTAGGGTCACTCTCTGATAATGAAAATGATTACCAAATTATATGGAAGTTTAACCGCAATAGTGAGTGAGAGGAGGGTGGAGCCCAATGTATTAGGTTTGATAAATGAACTGTGAAGAGGCCCATCTGGCTCTCAACATCTTTGCTCCCCCTCTTCCCCTACCAAGGGGAAACATTTTAAAATAACAGCAGTACATATAGACTCAATGACCCATGCACGGAGCTGCAATGGATTAAGATTTAATGGTGACAGTGGAAGGAATTATCATTTGAAAAGTGCACCAAAGAAAAGGTATGGTTCAGTGTCCATGCCTGAGTTGTTTTCCTAAATAAAATATAATAAGAATCGGTGCCTTTGTTTATGTTACACAATTCCCCTGCATCTTTGCTAGACTGCCCCCCAAATTTGAAGGTGTTGTTTATCATGGATAATTCTTGGCCGTGGGCTTCAGAGAAGCTTTCCGTTGCCTTGAACTTGTCAGAGTGAAAGACAAGTACTTCGTGTCCATCGGCTTACTCACTTGCAACCACAGAGGAGGATCAAGTGTTGGAGAAAATACAGGAAGTGTGGTGACCATCTCAACATCTTTTCATTGATGGTTATGCATTTTTTTAATCTTTTGATATTACACAAGGGAAATGCATGAAGTTCATGGAAAAATAGAATTTAAGGCTAAGTTTATTTTTGCGCAAAACATTTGAAGTCCATGCATAGTTTTTTCACACTGTGCATTTCCCATAGACTTTTAGAAGAAGTGCATGGGTATGGCTTTCAGTTTCTTTTGGCAGGGGACAGGCGACGGGACAGCACAATTTACTTGTCTTTCAACTTCATTTTCAGCAAACTTTGTGAATTTCTCTCAAACATATAACTCTTGTGCACTGTTTTATTCTCCCTATAACTGACTCACCAGGTTTTTCTGTAAAAAAAAAACATGAAAGCACATAATGTTCATTAAGTAGATTATGCGTATTCCTTTCTTGACTCCGTATTCAAGGAAACATCACAGCAATGCTAATTAGTGGCAGCATTGGATGGGTCACTAAAAGCCCTCTGTCTGCTAGCTGGTAATTGATAAGGATAATCTATTTAAAGCTCTCCCCCAGGTCTCCCTGAACACGGAAGGGTACCGGTTTCAGACCACTGACACTAGAGCCCATTAAGCTCTGCGGCGTCTGGAGCTGGGACAATCATCACAGGCTACGGAGCTTTGTGAAATGAACACGGTTGTCTGTGTACACTGTGCGCCATGCCACGTGAGATGCCTTGTCTGTCCTGGACTGGGCTCGCGAGCGGGTTTAACAGTCCATCTGGGGCTGAGAAGGTAGAAAAATTCCTCGAAAGATTCCGGGAAGGCAGTGAGAGGCATGTAGTGCTCTAAGCCCTTCAGGAAAGTGTTTAATTGTGGAAGTCTTGGAAGACTCCTTCTGTTGAAAATCGCTGTCTGCATAATGTAAGCCTCACCCCGACAACACGGACATTAAAAATAGAAGTAAAAAAGCTTCTCCATGTTCTCCAGAGCCAGCCTGTTTTTCACTTTGGTTCGGACTGATCTGTGGGGCTGAGAAGAACACTGAGTCAAGCATGATGATGAGGGCTTGCACAGCTACCCGTGCTTTCAAACTCTAAGGCAGCCCCACTGAATTTTTGCTGAGTAAGATGTAAATACAAACAGACAAGACAGAAGCAAGATCGTTAGTTTTTTTTTTTTTTAATTGGTGTCTAATTCATACGACAGAAAACTCTAATAGATGTCAATGTTAATTATTTTTAAAAGTCTGCAGTTAAAGTGACTTTTTTTTTTTATAGATTTGTATTTTTTGGAAAGGCAGATTTATAGAGAGAAGGAGAAACAGAGGAAGATCTTTCATCCACTGTTTCACTTCCAAGTGGCCGCAATGGCTCCAGCACCGAAGCAGAGCTGACCTGAAGCCAGGAGCCCAGAGTCTCTTCTGGGTCTTCCATGTGGGTACAGGGTCCCAAGACTGGGCCATCCTTAGCTGCCTTCCCAGGCCACAAGCAGGGAGCTGGAAGGGAAGTGGAACAGCTAGGTTATGAACTGGCGCCCATATGGAATCCCAGCACACGTAGGACAAAGTCTTTAGCCACTAGGCTATCATGCCAGGCTCTAAAGTGA